TATCATCATTCAGAGAACACACCCATCATTCCGTGAACACCTAATCATTTTCGGGAACATAACAAAAATCACAGATAACACATTATAATTTTAGATATTAAAAAAAGGCTCTGGAAACATTAAAACAGGCGAACTCTTTATATATATATACCTAGAGCTAATTTATTTATATGTAAGTCAGCGATATTGGCATATATAGATAATTTACTTTAAAAAAATAGTCCTATAGGTAGCTTCATTTGTAGCGATATTTTGTTTATAAATGATTTTATTTGCAATTTTCTTAGAGTTTTTTAATTTCTTATTATTAACTACATACGTCCGCTATTGTATAGGGTAAAAAAGAAATAAGTTATATTTTAATTTTATTATAAACCTCACAAAAACGTTCCCGGAATGATTGTTTTTAGCGATAGTTCACTTTAAAAATAAAATTACAAGAGGAGCAATTAATTCTATGCTCTGCCAACGTAAACATGTTTAAACACATGTTTAGTGATCATTTAAATTATCAAAGTAATAACTGCTAGGTATATTCATCATAAAACATAATTTGAAATGTGCCACCTTGGTGATTTTGACCCAATTGTACAAAACATACAATATCTTATAACATCTTTAATTTAAATTATATTTTTTTTATATTTTTGTTATGTATAAGAAGAACAGCGCCTTAAAGGCAGAGAAAAATCTGAATTTTTTCCGTATTGCTTCACTTAAACAGCTGTATATTTTTTAAATAAAATCTTACAAATTAAGGTTTTTTCTTTACATTGGTGTATTATATTTTTGATCAGATAAAGTTGACTTTTTGGTCTTTTGGTCAGGCCCAGCCCACCGTGCGATGGGGCCAGTCATATGTTCCTCTTATTCCTAATCAACAATAAAAGAATGAATAATTTAAAAAAATATTAACACATTTTTAGCAATACAGACATCTGCAAAATTCATGCACATATTTTCAGCAACACAGACATATTTCTAAAATTGATGCACCTTCTTCGGCAACACAGACATAATTATTTAGTAGATATTATCTACAAATAGCTCTTATCCAAAAAGAGTATTTTCTAAAATCTATTTTTTAACTGGCTTAGAATCTTCCTGTGTGTGGTTCTTCCTTTGCAATGAAAACACTGTAAGTAAATATAATTTTACAAATATGAGAATTTGGCAAGAAATGTAACAGAAACCCTAAAAACGTTTTCGTACTGTTATATTTTAAACACTCAAATTTAAACGTTCCTGTTTTGTATTCTGAACGTAAGCATAATCATGCCAACAAGCTATACAATACATAAACGTTACTGTATCGTTTTACCTTTACCCTAACACATTTACGTTGTGATGACTCTAATTTTATAACGTTAGTGTATTGTTAATATCTACGTTAATGAAACGGTATATATGCTAACTGTTAATCCTTAAACGTATATGCAACGCTAATTCATCAGCGTTATTGAATTGTTAATAAATTTACATTAACTAAACGGTACATAATTACTGTTGTTCCCAAAACGAAAATATAACGTTATCCTGCCGTTCATTAAGAACGTTTCTGGAAGGTTTATAAATGTACATTTATTAAACGTTACATATTGATATTGAAAATTTAGAAGCAATGCGCAGCCGCCAAAAAACCAAGCCAATATGTCTGTTTGGCGTCACACCTGTTGGGCCGCCCAACCGTGAATAATAAGAACAAACAAACGATCGCCCAACTTGGGCGATCGTTTGTTTGTTCTTATTATTCACGGTTATTATTATTTAAACAACATGCTTTTGCTTGGACAATGGAACAAAATAGAAAAAACATTGAGGTGAGTACCATTTACTCTTGTGTAATTGCTTAGGTATATTCCATTGCAAAACAAACAAAACATATGTAAATCATACTTACAAAAAGGTGCACAAGTTTTAATGCATTGTCGATCCTATTTTGCTAAAACAAAAATTCTTCGACTTTCTTTCCTAAAATATTTTGTTGGTGTCATATTTATTTTGAAACAAATTATTATTAGAAATATGTAAATGAAAACCACACTGTTAAGAGTTTCCAAGGTCAAATGATGGACTGTCTGACCTGAGCTCATCTTCAGAGATAAACCACCAAGTGCAAGATGGTAATACTTTAGAGAAATTTTATTAATATTACTGAAGTTTTCATAATTTCAGAGGCAAATCCAATAGAAGCGAATCTAGCTGAGGCAAATCCAGTTGATGCATAAGATGAATTCCCCATTATTATTGCATCTGATATTGAAACTTGTAAGAAAAAGTGTGAGTAAGTCCAGTTCCAATAGTATATTAATATTTTTTAGTTGAGTCACGCGTCATTAATTACTTGATAAATATTCAAACTATACAGAAACTGTTGCTAGACAAGATTAACAAACTGGAGCTTTCTGTAAACGTGCAGTATCCGCAGGAGGGAGTCGAAAATGTAGGACCTCAATTGCCATGCAACACATTGGAAAAACTTAAACAACTGGAGAATGTGTTAACTGCGGAAGATGTTTACAATAAATTGGTAACTCTTCTATAGTTTTCTTATATAAAAAAAAAGAAATAAAATAAATGTATTATTAATACATACACATATACATGAGTAACTTTTAAAACTTGATGGTACATTGAATGAATATGTCTTTTAACTTATTTTCTTTTATGCCTAGGCGCGGTAAAACGGTACTACCCGGCACTAATAATGAAAATATTCGAGAAAAGCGCCATGGATTTTTTCCGTCAAGAAAACCAGCGATTAAAACGGGAAAAAGTTGCAATTGAAAAAAATGCCGTTGAATAACCCAGGGAGCACACTGACGTTTGCTGACGTTCATATAAACGTCAGCAGACGTCAGTGTGTTACCAGGGAAATGACCATGAATGACTAGAGAATAAAGAAACCAAAGAATATTTGTTTAGTTTTGTTAAAATATTTAATAAATTTTTTATAATTTTATGTGAAACATTTTTATTTCATAAATTACATTATTACCACAGTGTCGGCTGGTGGATTTTGCATATGCCATATCTCAGTTATTAGACACCAAATTTATATGAATTTATAATGACACTAAATTAACAATTTAAATAGAATTTGGCGAAAAAAATATAGTTTTAACTCTGCCTACCCTGCAGCCTGGCCCCCCTAATAAAGATAATAAAAATTTAAATAGTGCAATTTATAATTCACCAGTTTATTAACAAATTTCAAAATTTATTAAAAAAATCCAAGTATTACATATTTTATCCCATATTATTTTTTTATTATTTTAGGAAAAGAAATAAAAATTTAAAATGGTAGGTATACAATCTGTAATATTTGGATTTTGATTTAAAATTTGTTGATAAACTATGGTAAATTACACTGAGAAAAAATGGGACAAATAAACTGTGTAGCTAATACTTTTTATTAATAGTGAATATATTGTTTATTACCTCTAAATAGTCGAAATAATAACGATAAATTTACTTTAGTAAAACTTTATGTGTCAGGAATAAAAATATATTTAGGATAAATAAACAATGCTTCTGTCCCATATTTAAATATTCTTTTTATTTGGGAACCATAAACTTTTTTCTCAGTGTATAAATTGCACTCGCCCTAATAAAGATAATCCAAATTTAAGTATATACTTAAATTTGTATTATATTTATTAGGGCCAGGCTGCAGGGTAGGCGGAGCAAAAACTATTTTTTTTTTCGCAAACTTATATTTGAATTCTGCTTGTGCAGAACTTGTTAAATTAGTTTCATTATAAACTCATATAAATTTGGTGTGGGTACCATGTCTAATAACTAAGATATCGGTATACGCAAAATCCAGCAGCCGCCACTGTTATGCCAACGTAACATATGTAACACCACAACCGGAACGTTACATAAACGTTTTGATAATAACGTTACATAGATGCTGCGCGGTACCACCATATGTAACATCACAAGCAGAACGTTACATAAGCGTTTTAAAAATACCGTCACAATGTTACGTTGCAGAAGGCGGACATTAACTGTAACTGTGACGATGCAGTTACGTTTATGTTACCTTATTGGACACGTTACAGTAACTCGTTAACAGTAATAAAACGTTTAAGCAACAGATCCTTGCCAAGTGGGTTATTATTCAAAAATCTTTATCATTATCATTATCTCGGAATTAAGGTTTTACCACTTAAGACACTGTTGTCGCCCATGTGCGATATAAGTATCAAAGATATTATCGATAGTCTTAAGTTGAGACTCAACCACAATGATATACCTACCCTATTAAAAATGCCATATAGAAACACAAAATAAAAATCTATATGGTTCTATCTGGTTCAATATAGGAATTTGAAACAGGCATTGCACTATTGAACCAGATAGAATTCCATACATGAAAAACCATATAGAAAAGTGATTTCCTTATGGATTGCCATATAGGTTCAGATTGAACCATATTGGGGCTCTATCTGATCCTATATGGTTTGGGTATGAAAAAATCAGGGGAATCTATATGGTTTAATATGCAATTTTCGTTTAAATATATATATATATATATATATATATATATATATATATATACATTTTAAAATGGAATTCCATATTCAACCATATAGGGAAATCTATATGGAAAGACACATAAAACAGAAACCAGATAAATTCATATAAAAATCCCTAAGTTGTACATTTTAAAATGAAATTCCATATTAAACCATATAGATTCCAAAGTGTAAACCAGGTCGTTCCATATAGGACATATATAACCATGTAAATCCATATTAGTTTCCTTATCTGGACCAATATGGGTTCTATAGGGCATTTTTAATAGGGTAACCAAAGTCACATCCACAACTTAAACCAACCCATAGCGCAATATTTGGCGCCAACACGTAGATTTCAAGTCTGCAATAAAAAAATTGCATCTCCCAACCCCATTATCTGATTCCTATCGGTTTTAAGTTAACAAAGCTATGTAGTGAATTACTACTAGGTCGTCTGGCAAATAAAACACAGTATAAAGTAATGTAGTTTATTGTTGAAACTGTGTAAGAATAAAAAGAAATCAGGTAAAACAATTTTTATTTATTGATTCTATACATTTAAATTAATGTTCCTTAATCACAAAATAACTTATAAATTTTAAGCTTTAGACAATAGAGCTAAATCTGAGATGCACTTGTTTATGTTAGCTTTTTCTTGATCCGGGGTGATTGAGGCCCTGACTTTTCCTACAACCCAATCGACCAAGTTCTTCTGGTTGATTCTACGTTCAATGTTTTGCTTCTCGGCCTGGTAGTCCAAACGTTTCTTGATTTCGGAGTACGCTCTGATCATACGTTCCCTGTAGGAAGCTTCTAATTGCAACTGAACGTTTTCGCGTTTGGCAGCCACCAAATGCATTTGTCCTTCAAGACTCCATTGCGCTTTTTCTTCGTCTTTGATCTGGCTCTCCAAAGCTCCCTTTTGGTCTACTCTGCTTTGGTTCCAGTTTGATTCATATTCCTGTCAAAAGTTTTTGGGTTATTTTTAAACACGGTTTTATAAAGATTAAGTGGACAGCTGTCAAACATTAAAAAAATAGTTTGGGAATTAAAGTAAAGAGTTTATAGATATAGCGCACTTCTATTTTTCTCCATTTGACTATTAGGTAATGGCAAAAATCATATTTTAACTTTGATTATTTCCCTCATTATAAAATGAACCAATCAAAAGCCTTGAATTTTCGAATAAATTTTGTTTAAATAAGGGATTAAATCACTAGAACTATTTAACAGCGATTAAATTTTAGCCTCCATATTGGATTTTTGTTTACGATTTTATGGTGTTATTTACAAGTTTTAACAAACTATTTTTTAAAAAACACTAAAAAATAAGTTATCTAGTTTACGAAATATCAATTATTACTTATTACATACATTAAATTAATGGAATTTTTTTTTATGAATTGTCAAATAGTTTCCTTTAATTCGAGAAATAATCTAGACGTATATCACTCAACCTATAAATTTAATCTGTCAAACTATGCTCAGTAAGTTTTTTATTTGATTTTTCTTTTTGGAAAATAGTTTCATGCAAAATAATTAAAAATAAAACCCCTCGACCGCCACGCGGTCTCGTGATTTTATTAAATTATTTTGCATTCAACCTTTTCCAACAAAAACCAAACAAAAAACTACTGAGCCTAGTTTTCATAGTTCTCGTGATATAATATATGAATATATTATGCAACAAAATACTAAAGGTTACATTTGTTAAAATAATATAAATATAAACTGCGCACCACTCAATGTGTCGCGACCAAAAAGTTCGTTCTTTTTCAAAACGACATAACTTTTTTGTTTCTTGAACGATTTAATTTTGGTTTGTGATGTCTGCTAGCCTCTAACCTCTTGATGATTTTGGTTTTATCTGAAACATAAATTTGACAACTGAATCACAATCAGTTCAAAATTATAAAGAAAACATGTCACGAACGTAAATATCGGTTCAGGTTTAGTTTTCGCAAATTTTCACCAAAATGTCATTTTCAAAAAGTGGTCTTTGCTTAGGCCCCTCTGAAAATAATGGAAGTTTGTTGCTTGTCGCTTGTTCAGAATTATTCAAGGAACAATTTTTTACCATCTTATTTTCTTGTTCTTAAAAAGACTGAATATATTGCCTACCAAAAAGCCTTAAATGTATTTTTTTGGAATAAAAATCATATTTTCGTTGCTAAGATTCCAATTCGAAAAATTTGAAAAATGTTTCAAGGTAACACATAATACTTCATTATTTCAAAGTAAAAACGAAAAAAAAATTATTGTTTTACAAACGGGGCTTGGATGAAGTCATTGAAATTTTTCACCGGTTTACATATCACCCTGTAGGAAATTTACTTGAAGAACCGTATGCTTAATATATATAGCATGAATTGCCAGAGGATGGGGTTAGCAGACATCATAGACCAAAATAAAATCGTTCAAGAAACAAAAAAGTTATGTCGTTTTGAAAAAGGACGAACTTTTTGGTCGCGACACATTGAGTGGTGCGCAGTTTATATAATCAACTAGTTGCGGATTTGTTTCCAAAGTTACTTGCCCCCAAGAATGGTTTCAAAATTGTTAGAAACATGTTTATGCGCTTTATAGCAGGTAAGTTGAAATCACCGTGAAAGGCTTAAGCTTAATTTTCATGTATCCGTTTGTCCGTTATACGTTTGTACGTTTTTCAATAAAATCGTCCGATAAGAAATGTTCTAATTTTCATGCATCTGTTTTTTAATGACGTTTAACGGATTGATTTGGTGAGAAATAAAAATTAAGAGTCAGTATATTCACTTTACTAAATTTACCTAATGCTTAATTCTCATAGTTACAATTATGTAAACAAATGTAACTTTAACAGTTAGCTGTAAATAAAAATAAAAGGTAGGTAAATATACCATATAAAAAGAATATACTAGCCTTAATTTACATTAAAATGTATAGTTTTAAAAAAGCAGGTCCTTTTAGTTCTGGTTTTAATATTTAATTGTTTGTCTTTTCTTTTTTTCCGTTATTCTTAAATAAAAACATAACCGTAGAACATTATTCATATAACAAACTTAATATTTCCGTTCTACAATCTTATTGAAAAAATATAAAAAGATTTGAAAATAAATTATCTTAAAATAACGTCAAAAACAGATGTGTAGTGACGGATGAGTTAATAGTTATTTACGATATAAAAAAGATAGTTTTTGCTCCGCCTACCTTGCAGCCTCGCCCCCCTAATAAATATAATACACTTTTTAGTGGTGCTATTTATAATGAACCATAGTTTATCGACAAATTTCAAAATTTATTTAAAAAAATTCAATTATTACAGATTTTATACCGTTTTAAATTTTTATTTCTTTTCCTAAAATAATAAAAAAATAAAATGGGTTAAAATCTGTAATACCTACTTGGATTTTTTAAATAAATTTTGAAGTTTGTCAATAAACTATGGTAAATTATGAATTGCACTACTTAAATTTGTATTATCTTTATTAGGGGGCCAGGCTGCAGGGTAGGGGAAGCAAAAACTATCTTTTTTCGCAAACATCTATTTAAATTCTGCTTTCCTAGAACTTGTTTATTTAGTGTCATTATAAACAAAGATTATAAATATAAACACTATAAATTTGGTGTGGGTCCCATGTTATTACTAAGATATGCAAAATCCACCAGCCGCCACTGATTGTAGATAATAATGCTCTTATTTTGGGTAAACTACCATTGCTTGAAATAACCTATTTTTTAAAGGTCCCCCTAATGGAGCGTTTAAGTAGCGCGTAAGCTGCTTACTTACGGTAAGCACACTTTACATGATTTTAGACCCCTGTATAGGAAAAAAAAGAAAATCGCCCTCCCTTTCTTAGCAAAAGTAATCAAAAATTAAACCCCCACCTTAGCCTGCTTACGTAATACTTGAATGCCTCCTAAACTATGACCTATTCAACACACGCTTTCAAAACTCCGGCGCCCCTGACAATAACAATGGTTGGTTTAAGAATTTAGGAATATAAATACCGCATTTAATGAAATTCTAAAGTTTATGGTGCCAAATAAGTAAAATTTTTGTGCATATCTGGTTTTCTCCATAAATAATTTTAACTAAACAGCATTTATAAAAAAAAATCTCTATTATGGAATAAGTATATCTGTATTAAAGGTAGGTCTATTTTGACCAAAATAAAAAAGAATAGAATTTTGGATTATTTGGAAGACTGTATAATATGGTATTACTTCTTGTAAAAAAATGTGGTAGTTTTTCTAAGCTTCGACTGAGTTTGATCTACTCGTACATTGAAAAATCATTATAACTTTAAAAATTTTAATAAATCTCATGTCATGGGAGTATTAAATATTTTCACATTGCAAGTTTCTCTAAAAATTGTTTATTTTCTTATAATCTAAGTTAAAGAAGGTATGTCAAGAGGTATGCACATGTTTTGTTGTTAGAATTATAAAAGCTTCAATTTAATTTTAACCATATTCAACAATTATTTAGTATACCTATATTTATATGACCATATTAACACACTCTTCCAATTAATCCACTTATTTATTATGGTCAAATAGATTTTCTAACCTTACAATACAAAATTAGATGGTATTTTTTGTTATAATACATTAACCTACCTTTGATACAGATAATCTTATTCCATAATAGAGAAGTTATAAATTTAAATAAATGCCTTTTAGTTAAAACTATTTTATGAAGATATGTAGACCAAATGCACAAAAATATTACTTATTTGGCACCATACACTTTAGAATTTCACTAAATGCAGTATTTATATTCCTAAATTATTAAACCAACCATTGTTATTGTGATCCTATAAAGATTTATTAACTTTTAACGCTTAAAAATAAGTGGTTACAGTATAAATATTATTTCTTTCATCGACTATACTTTGACAGATACATATCCTAAAAAGCTTTAAATGCCAAATTTTAAAAAGACTGCCTTCACTACGTAGTCACGTGGTGGGACTTTGAGGTGTGGAGCATAGTACCTACCAGAGCTGGCCAAGAATTCACCAGTAATATATACGAGTATTTTCGTTTATTATATGGATGACTTTTTGTCAAAATATCGTAAGCATTAAAACATTTTGTTTGGAAGTCTATTTTAAATAATATAATATATAGTATAATATATTATATTATTATAGCCTATAGGTTTTCGGCCATTCCATGCAAAATGTAACCTCCGACCAAAAAATAAAATTATGATTGACATCTACTAACTTATTAAAATTGTATGTAAAAAACTCCAAAATGTATGGCTTTTCAAAAATTTATCTTAAAATAAATGTTCCTACTTAATACTAGATCGTCAAATTTCCAAGTCTAATATGACGATAAATCCTATTTAAAAAATGCAATTTATGGAGTGTGCCATGACCGGTATGAAAGGTGTAAAATCAAATGTATTTATTTTGATAGATTGTTTGACTTGTGTTTCGTGTTGTGACAGACGCATTTTTTATTTAAGGTAAGTTTAAACACTATTTAATTAACATTTAAGGTATCATGTACAGTTTGTCCCTTCCCTTACGCCCAAATTTGAAATGTTTTTATATCTCTTATTTGATTAAATAAAAGCAAGCCCAAACTTTATTTTCTCTTTAATTTAAGGCAAAGTAATACTTTGCAGCAGTGTTTTATAGATTGCTAAAATATTTTTTTAATTTCTGTCCCGTCCGTTACGTTATCTAGCAATATATATTAGGGACTTTTTGACCCCGTTATGTGCCTTGATGGGTAAAATAAGGATTATACGTTAGGATTTTTCATGCTATTGCCTTTGTATCCTATTCTTTTTATTTTTTCCAAGTCCATCTCTTTTTGTGGGTGGCAAAAGGGATAACCAAAGATAACGATTGGCGCTAATTTTCGCTGACTTACCCATTTTTTAGTTAACCTTTAGTTAACTTTATTAAACGATAAACTCGGGCAGCGAAAAATTTTCAGAGGCGCAAATAAGTAACTCAA